ACTACCCAGAAGGTTGGGTTAAACATTTAACCCAACCGCTGGGTCAAAACAACCCAATTGCTGGGTTTGTCCCTATTTTACCCAGCACTGGGTTGTATTTAACCCAGCATTTTTTAGAGTGTATGGACTATATAGGAGTCCGAAAAAAGGGACAAAAAAAAATCAAACAAACATTTAAATGTGCCATAAAGTCACAGAAATACAGATAGTATTAACTGTCATTTTACAGTATTCTGTGTAGTTTTGCATATATTCCAGTTTGGGAGGGAGGGACGGACTGATCATTCTAAAGCTGCTTTGGTATATGAGCACTTATTCATGCTTGTATTTCTAATATCCACATATGGACAGGGAAACACATTCACTCTTGCATTGAGCATAAATAAACATACCTTCATGCATTACCTAATTACACACAAATGCATTATCTAATCCGTATTATTATGCTAGCACAGTAATTTATGATTTGTGAGATAACCACAGGTTATCGTTGATCTTTGTGTGTGTGTGTGTGTGTGTGTGTGTGTGTGTGAGTGAGTTAATCACATTTTATAGTCTAATTTGATTACTAAAACAAAGGCATGTGACTGTTTGAGGAACTGTTACCATTAGAAAGGAAGACAACGAATATTTGACATGTAAAATCAACTAATACACACACCCTAGATGGCTTCACACACAGATATAAGTAGCTACTTTGCCCCTCAGATGGAGAGAGTGACTCAAGACTGCTGCTGGCATGATTTGTAAGCTTTATGAATACAGATGTGTAAATTATGTACAAATGTTAGTTATTTTAAGTTAATATTTACAGTAGAAGGAGACAATGTGCTGGGGAAGGTGACGGTCTAACATGTACAGGACTGTTCTGGAAGGCTAGTGGTAGTATGCTTCTCTTTATGATAAATGGCCGCTTTACAAAAGAATGAACAATTCAGCAGTGTGAAATCAACCCCAGAAGATGTGTAGAAGAGACTGGGAATTATTGTTAAGACCTCACTTTATTAATAAATCATTCAAATCTCATGCTGTGTGTGTGTGTTGTGCTGACCTTTTGGGTTTAATTTGAAGCATTTGTTGCTTATAATAATTATTATATTAGTTAAATTAGTTAAAACTAATTTAATGGAAAATTAGGGGAAATAACCCAAATGTAACCTAACGGCATTGTGAATGATTTGTCGCCCTCTTGTGGTCATGTTAATATATCCTAAAATATAATGCAGCTGTCTCCCCACAAAGGGGCAGTGTGCACCAAGATTTCGCAAGCAACTTCTAATGAATTTTTATTGATTAGTTTTTGTTTGCTTTTTCTGAATATTTGAACTAATTTGTAAACTAAAAAAGGTTGATATTCATATTTTCATAACTACCAGACAGGTCAAGACTGATATGCGTTTAGTATATCTTTATCTATGATTAAGTTTTAAAAAGCTACTGCTAATTGCATGCAGGTCAAGGTCAGACAAAAATGCCATCTTTGGTTAGACAGCACAGCTATTGATATATATGGCAGATATATAAAATATTAAGACATCCTCTCTGACTCAAATACTGGGAAATTAACAAATCCTACTACGGGAAAGGCGTGTCTCATGAATATTAATTACGTACGTGACGTTTATCCAGTAGACGCCTAACTGATTGGTTAAAAGGGAGACGGTGGTTCTTCTGAGGAAACATTAGGGTTTGAGTGCTTCAGCCGGCGTTTGAGGTGCATACAACGATATAAAACGTCCAAACGTATTTTTAAATGTGTACAAAAGTAGCAAACAACATGGTAACATTGATTTGGTAAAATTAATATCGATTATTATCGAATATAATATTATATAATACGTCGCGAATGGCGCAAATTATTTGGTTTACTTTTCTGTGAACAACAAAACCGGTTCTATCAACAACAGCAATGAAGTTACAAGACTGAAAGCTCTTGGCCATAGTAGGATTCACAAGAGGAGGAGAGAAAGATCCAGAGCAGCGCCAAGGGGGAGTGTCTCCGACCGTGAGACACACATATACCGGGGCACCACGAGACTTCAGTTCAAACAAACCAGCGGGAGCCTCTGCGAACCGGAGCCGCTGCGTTTTCACGCTTAGGCGTCTTTACCAGCGCGTCTCCGAAAGCGAATCGGCGTCAGACGCTTGAGTTTGAATAGGTAAGTATATTTCTGGTATGTAAATCAGCACCGCATACTTTTGAATATGAATGAATATATATATATATATATATATATATATATAAGAGTGCGCTTTTATAAACGATGCTCGTCTGTTTGGAAAGCGGATACGGTTGCCATAGATACAGTCAATTCCTGAACGCTTGTTAAACGTGCGTGATTGATTTTTAGCATTGACATTCTGTGTCGGTTTTATTTCTTGTTATCTAATGGCTTACAATGGTTATCTGGCAAAGGACACGTTGTAAAATTAGACTCAGTGAAAAGCAAATTATTATTAAACTGGTAACTGTTAGTTAATTTAGGCACTTTTTGTGAACCATGTTACACTTACAGAAATTCCTACAAGTATGTTGGTTAAAATTTTTGTACATGATCATAATCAGAATCAGAAAGAGCTTTATTGCCAAGTATGTTTGCACATACAAGGAATTTGTTATAGTTTCACAAGCTTCCAGTACACGGAGATAACAACAACACACAGATAATAAAAACATGATACCATGAGAATCATGTTTTTGACATGTGGCATGTAGTATTCTTTAGTTACTTTAAGTACAATGCTAAATATATTGGTAATATGTTATATTAGTATGATAATCATTCAGTCCCGTGGTATATATGTTTACTGTGGTACCACCGCATTACTTTTTTGAAAGAGTAAATTGTGATATTTTTGTTTAGTTTTCATTTGACGATTTTATGCACTATTATTCAAAGCTTTTGTCCCACATAGTTTTACTTAGTTTGCTTGGTCATCATCCATCTTTTATGAATTGTTATACCTTTAATTCTACATATCTCACGATTTTTAAGGTGTTTCTAAATGGTTTGAGCACTCGTGTATTTCTCAAGGAATGGAGTAGAAAGCTTTCAGCTTATTCCCTCCTTGTTATTTCAGTTCAAAATAATTTTTTGCTCCCCTTTCTTTCGGAGGGCTTTTGTGTCCTCTTTTTTTCCCAGACAGTTGTCTCTGTTGTGTCGCATCTTTTTTTCTGCCGTCTTGAAAGTGCAGGGAACTCTATTGTTAGAAATGGAAATCATGACAGAATGGTTACCATGGCTTTGTGTAAGATCTCGGCGCTAACACAGAGGAGAGTGGGACATACCGCCGTCAACCGCACGTCTGATTGTGGGTTTTGATAATATGCCGCTGTCACAGCTCACATCTCCCTTTATCTTGTATCTCATACCTTTTTTCCTCAGGTGTATTGTGGCCACTGGTGTATTGTGATTGAGGGGAAGCATGCAGGCTCACTATCCCAGCAGCGGAGCTGTACGGTGGGCCAACCACTGAATACGGTCCTGGACAGTCCCAAAGACTTGCACAAGACCATCTGAGCCCAGCTAAAGTGGAAACCCTTTAACTAACCACCGCGGACAAGTGCGCGTGTGTGAGAGAGAAAGCGATAGTGTGTGTGTTGCCATGGCTTTCACACTCTCCGAAATCATGGCAGCCCGACGACAGCAGCAACAGTCTCAGAGAGGAGGAAGAGGAGTTGTAGAGGTGGACGAATACAGCGCCAACCCGACTCAAGCCTTCACCTTCTACAACATCAACCAGGGTCGCTTCCAGCCGCCCCATGTCCATATGTAAGAAACTCACATTTGGTATGGGTTACTATGGTCGACTAGTTGTCCAAAAAGTGTCTTGTCCATTTTTTCAATTTAGATTTTTAGCAGCAGCACTTTAATTTGCCTTCTGACAGCATGCTTTGCTTTAGCTGTCAGTTAGCATGTTAAAATTCTCTCATGGGGATGTTCAACACCTTTAAAACACCGCTGCTACAGACATGAACATTTAGATGGACATGCTGCATCAAAAATTATGCTGTTTTTTAAGCATCTTACGTCATGAGCGTTGCGTTTTTAAAATACCGAAAACTCCCTATGAAATCGCCCAATTGAGTTCAGGTGAACTAAAGATTTTTAATAACTGTGGGCTTCTTGAAGAGAGATTTTTTTTTTTTTTTTTGACTAATGACTAGCTGAGACTAATGACTAGAGCTGCTGTACAACATAATTTGAATTTGTCTCATATTTGAAGAAATTTGCATCATTGTTTCTTTTGCATTTGTATTGTGTAAAGTGCTGTATAAATAAAAGTGACCTGACTTGACCAATCGTTCAGGAAACCAACTAGCTAATTGTTTTTGAAAATATGTGGTTTTGCTCATTCTGTTGTCCATGAGTGGATTTTTTCCACCTAATGGGCCATGTTTCATTGTTTCTCTTATTTCTTTTTATTCATGCCCATTTACAAAGGAAAACAGGTCACAACTATATATTTGCAAATGTGTATAAATGTCTGCGTGTGTGTTGTCGATAGAGTCTGTGTGGTCGACCCAGTAGGAGATGTTCTAAAGTGGGCCATTCTTATTCAAAACTCTGCTATGTCCCTCAGAGACCCGTTTCTGCAAATACAACCGTGAAGCCGTGAGAGAACGATATATAACCGTATGTATTCCCACACCTCTCTCTCTCCCTCTGTCTTTCCACAGGGT